CCCAGCGCTGGAAGCCAACACATTTCCCTGTGCGGGTACCCCAAAGAGCCCAGACATCCACGCAATGCAAAATGAAGATGAGGTTTTTGCCAGCACAAGACCCATACTGAGATAACTCAGCTGAGAGTTCAAACCTTTGCCTTAGTGCTTCACTTCAGGTTTCTGCACAAGGGCAAGAGAAGGATGGCAGCCCAGCGTGGCTTGAAGAGAGCAAAACAAGTGATCCCCACGCAAAACAGAGTGCTACTTGTGTCTGCGTGTTCAGCAACGCATTTAAACTAAACCGGTGTGGACACAGAAGTCAAACGCTCTCCTGACCGTTGGGGGGCTTGGAGGATGGGACCAAGCGAGAGTCAGTAGGGACACGTTGTCAGCAGAGCTTCAGGCAGCGCAGACTTCTTGCTGTCAGCATCTTGGTCTGGTGGGATAGAGCTAATCTGCGCACGTCTATTTCACACAGTCCCAGCTGCAGGATGCGCATAGGGTACGTTGTTATTGTTGCTGGTGCATTCTTGAACAGCATCAGGAGGCGGCAGCAGCAGAACAGCAGCACAAGGTGTGGAGGGGCCTGGGAGCTTGATTTGCTCTCGCTGAGTGAATCAGGATGGAAAAACTGCTGGAAATGAGGTGGGAGACACACATGTGCACAGACCTTCCCACTGCAGGTCAGAGCCCGGGTCTCAGCTTCCGGCACTGGGTGTTACAACCCGACTTTGCTCTCGTGAAATGCGTTCAACCAACATGAAATGAAAACAAATATCCAAAACCTCAAGCATTGCCTCAAAGCACCCCCACCAGCCAGAATTCTCCAAGTTCCCCCGAGGACTGCAAAAAACTCATTGCCCCCACCGGTGCTGGATCCCCAATACTTTCTTTAGCTCATTTTACAGAGAAACAGATAAGACATCTCCATCAGCGACAACAGCCCTACATATTGCATGGCCCACACAACATATGCAGCCCCTCCGTTGCCCAACCGAAACCTACTGGTGGCAGCTCCAGCTTCAGGAGTGAGGAGGGGAGCTGGCAATGCTTTGCATGCAGCAGGGCAGCAAGTTGATCTGGGGACAACCCACAGTCGTGCTTGGTGGGAACGGATGCTCCCGTGAGCCAGGCTGGGACAAGCAAGGATGCAGCAGAGCTTGTTGCTGTGTTTTGTACCTTCTTGCTCGGTGTACCGCATTTCAGCTTGCCTCGCTATTGCAGCTGCTTTTCCTGAGGCTGGGTGGGTTGAATAATCACCCTTCAAGGCACAAAGCAACATGCCAGAATCCCCAAGGCTTCTTGACTGAATGTGGGGACAGGATCCAGAGGATTTTTCCCCACCTGGGCCCATGCGAGCAGAAGTGCCAAGAGATGGAGACGTGACAGCTGCTGCAAAAGAAGGAAGTTTCCAGGATGAGCTCAAGGCTTCACGTCATTCAACTGGGAAAGAAGGACAAGCAACTTAAAAAAAAACAATAAAAAAATCATAGTTTAACTGCTTTTATTGCAGCACTCCTTGGCTGTATTTCAGAATCCTCCTCTCAAATAAATGAAAACCAGGCGGAGGACTGGGCCCTCTGCCCGAGCGTGCAACAGCGCAGGTCAGATTCCCTGCCTGGATGCTCACCAGGGTGCCGTGCCCTGCTCTGACCACTTCCAGCTTTCGAGCATTTTGTTGCCTCTCGGGCCATGCAGGCTGTGGACCCCTCGGTCCTTCCAGCACGTTCCCCACGTACAGGCTCCCCATGTTGCTGCCTCATGGATATGGGACCTCTCACCCTCTTCCTACAGCCCAGCTCAGACCTCTAACGTAGCTGGTGCTCGCAGCCCAGCACGCAACACTCCCAACCTTCCCCAGGACCCACCTCATCCCACTGCCTGGGCAACCTGCACCCTCCCATTCGGACCCGCACGAGCCGGACTCGAGATCCTTACTGTAGCCATCCCCGGGCAGCCAACACAAAGAGGGACAACTGCCCATTTTTCCAAGCTTGGAGGACATGGAAGGCAGCCCTGGCAGCTAAGCCTGCATTCCCCAAGGCACTGCCTGATGCAACAGTTTTATAACCCCAGCTCCGTGTCACAAGTTGGACGGAGATCTCCCCCAGCAGCATACAAAGGAGAGGCGCGTCCGCCTTGGATGCGGACACACAGCGAGACGCTGTCCCGAGAAACGTTCTGCTGTTCTCACATCTCTCTTGTTTGGCATCAAGTATTTTCTGCTCACTTTGACAGCTCTGTAATTTCCCCCCCTCTCCCCAGTGTCAAGGTGGATGAATAATCTTTTTGGCTTTAGGACAAACCGGAGTGTCTGCCAGAATCATCAATCCCTCCGAATTCAAGAACAGGACAGCTTTTCCTAGTGACATCCATGGGTAGAGTTCACACCTGTGTAATAATCGAACGTATTTCCTTCAAAAGAAGGAAATATCTAACAAAGATTGGAGAATCCATATAATTCGATCAAGGAATCACTTTAAGGGCTGGCAACATCTTTTGAAAACGAGATGTCTATATTCGGCACTGAACTGTTTTATTTCAGCATGGAAATCGCTGTTTTGGATTCTTTTATTTCAATAAATGAAAACACAGAAGAAAATCCGGGCTATCAGCCCAGGCTTGTAACAATTTGGGGTTTTTCTTGGCTTTTCCAGGGATACTTATTGCCAGATTGTGAGATGCTGGCAGGATAAATCTGTAAGCCATGGAAATTACGAGTTTCATGACACACACATTTTAGTCCAAACCCTCGCCGATAAAATTAAACACAGGAAAGAGCCAGGACTTTCATCCAGCTCCTTAATTACCATCTGGAGTCTGGCAGCTGAAATAAGATCAAACTTTTGCATAGAAAAGGAAAAAAAAAATTTGCTATTACAGTGGGGAAAGAGATGAGACTTTACAAAGAGCTTGAGTAGAGTTACACAAACATCCCGACGCTATCAGGATCTGTCCTGCCAGGGGCTGTGCATCTCCCACTCACTTCTCGTGTGCACAGAGCTGCATAGCACCTCAATAAAGCTTATCCCATCACTCCAGAAGGAGTAAAAATGCCTTAGTTTTAGTTCTTATGAGCTTTTTGAGACAGGGTCCCTATTTTGGGTATCTCAATAACACCCAGCAAAAATTCTTGCTCGTAATGGGCAAAAGAGGGACAGACGCTTTCTCCTTAGTGGCTCCAGTTCAGTGGCATGTCCTGGGTGTAGTGGGAGCATCCCTTCATACCCCCGGAGCTTCTGGAAAATTATTGAAGGCAACGTGAGGGAAAGCCTGCTGGGAGCCGCATCCTGACAGATAAAAGGTGATTTAGCACAAAACTGAAACACAGCGCTTCACTACAGAGCACCGCAATCAGGACTTGCCAAGGGTAATTTGCACACGACAGACATAAAATGCAAACTAACATCCTATAGGCATTAGAAGGGACTGTTTCACGAGGCTGAAAATAGTTATGAGCCAAGTCATGTGGCAGAAAGAACATAAACAGAAAACAGCTTCTGATTCTTGTAAGTATTTTAACAACAATTTATGAGAGATCAGAGAAAATTCTACAATCCTGCTATTAACATCAAAGCTGCGCCGGTTAAGACATCTGCCTAGCCTAGGAGAGAAGTGAAAGGTACAGTAAAAAAAGCCAACAAATAGAGAAAACCCCAGCAATCTCTATTAGAGGCCAGAAAACAGCAAGAAAGAAGGCCTGAGGAAAAAAGCATGGTCATCAAGACAAGGAGGAAGTGATTTTAAATCCACCAGGAAGGCAAAGAGCCTTACACCAAGGCACAGATAAGCCATTTGCTAAAATAAAGTATTCAGAAATAATGGAGACAAAGCAGACAAGGTCAGTAAATATTTTGGAGCTGCACTTGGAGAAAAAATAGGTGATACCGTATGATGATGATGAAATACTCTCCATTTCAACAGTAACTTGGAGATGCAGTTAACTGGTAATGAAAAAGCAAAATATTTTAAAATTATGAGATCCAAGTAATGTGCATCTAAGAATTTTAAAGGGACTGACCACGAAATCAGCTGGTTTATTAATTTTGCTTTCTCATAAGTCTTGAAATACTGCCTAGATCCCACAGTGTCTGGAGGTAATGTTGTGCAACTCCTTTAATACTTCATAATTACAGACTCATCAGTCTAATTTTGAGCTTCGAAAAGATAACGTTATGGCTGGTACAAAATTGATGGCTAATGAACAATTAGCAGGTGATACAATCCACGACAGTGAAAAAAGATTTTTCTGAAAACAGGTGCCGCCACACTAAAGAGGGTCCTGTTTTAGGTCATAATCACGCCAAATAACAATATTCTTACCCAGCACTTTGCTGCCCTGTTAGATGTTTGAGTCAGTAAGGTGGCTACAGGGCTCGGCAGGAGGCTGAGCATCCGTGTGCTCCACAGGCTAACAAAGCTGAAAACACTGAACTGCAGGAATAAATTGCTTAGGAAGGCACAGGCCCTGACTCCTCCACCCTTTTCAGTCCTTAAGGAGCATTCCTTAAGTGAAGGCAGACTGCCGTACAACCAGGCAGCTTTCAATCAAGAAGTTTTTGGATATGAGCTCAGCTAATTCGAGACAGACAGACAACTGTAATACCTTCAAAGGTAGCATCTACTAATACAGCCCAGGCAAGATAGAGCTGTAAATCACTTATGAGTGTAAAACATTATCAGTGGATGTATAAAATACTTCTGTGCACTTGTGGGAAAATTTTGGGGTGGAGCTAAACTTTTAGTAACATGCTCCTTGCTAATGACTGTAGGGATTACGATTGTCACCTGCCTTCTCCAGGAGACCGGAGTGACTGTCGGTCCCCTCTAACTCAGTTGTTAGCTGCCATGGGGAACGGCGTGGCTGCACATACAGTGGTGATGAGAGGACCTGCCTTTGCTGCAGCTACGGACACTTGACCAGCTCTTTCCCTCAATGATGGTTACATGCTGCTTTCTGCCTTCTTACTACTTTATCATTATTTTTTTTGTTTGTTTGCAGTTGAAGAACCGATCAAATGAGACAGAAGATCTCCAGGAAAAGTGTAAGTGAGCAATCCAATCTTGTATTGCAAAAGGCAGCTTCATCTATCACATGTGAATAAAACATTCCTAACACCAGGCTCTGCCTTGCTTCTGCATATTGGGATTTATTTGCCCACATCTTGCTTACCAGTTAGGGTGATTTGGCAGAGGCAAAACACCCATGGCCCCTTCTAACCTTATTAATGGAAGTTATTTATAATGGTTTAATATTTTATAAAGAATACTGGCAGCAAAAAGGCCCTATGTGCATTCGAGAGGGTGCCTAATGTATTCATTTTGAAGGCAAAAATCAGGTTTACGAGAGCTGCCTCTGTGTGGAGGGCAATGCCAGCAACACGCTGCCACTGAAAACTCTGCCCTTAGGCAGCCAGCTCTGCACCTCCCCGTTTTGACCCAAAAAGGGTAAAAGCAGCAAGAAACAGTTACCAAGTTGGGGGGGGGGGGGGGGGGGTTAT